TCACAAGACATTATACAGACAGGCTATAGTATCATGGCTACCCAGCAACGGAGCTCAAAAGTGTGGGATCATTTTAAGAAAATGAAAGAGAAACCTGTGCAATATCTGTAAGGCAGAACTTGCCTTCCACAGCAATTATTTTTAGTTAGCATATAGCTAAAATCTAACCATGGTTATATTATAGCAGTTGCATTCTGGCACGATAAGCTGTATGTTTTATATTCAATTAACATATGATCCGATTAGTCGACTAATCGAAAAAGTAATCAGTGATTAATCGATTATAAAAATAATCGTTTGTGGCAGCCCTACTTGTCATATAACTTTGGGCCTCAGTCAGAAAGGAGGTTGTGGGGSTTTATGTTCTGTCGGCTTGAGAGAAAGATGAGACTGATGTCAAATTATACTTTTTTCCTCCCATGAGACTACCATGTGTCCTTCATATCACTGCAACACACATCAAATGTTCAGAAAAAAAAGGTAGCACATACTATTTTTCATAACTCTGATTTTATTTGGCCTGTCAACACAATTTAAAAACGTGTGTATTTGTTGAAGTCTCTACTTTTGACACAAGTTAAAACCGAGCCTCAGAGATCTTTTCTGCTWGAGACATTTAAATAAGTCATGTGACTAGGCTCCAGAGAGTTGATATACTGTCATAACTTTTAAATACCGTCACCGTCTTTCAATATCAACGTATATTACAATACCGTCATACTGGAGAACCACTCCTTGAATGTCACAAACTATTTTTGCTCCTAAAAGWGATTTGTGGAATCAATCTTAAGCATTAAGATTAAGCGAGAATGACTCAAATTTACATTTTAGGAGACATTGATGAAGTGATTCTAATTTACAGAAAGTCACAAAAAAACGTAACATATGGATGACACATGGATTAGGGTTAGGTTATCTTGTGCTTTGTCACACCCACCCTCTTACAGGCAGGCAGTGAGGCAGAAATATTACACACATCCACCCCACAGGGTTGTCTATCGAGGGCAGATGTTGGTTTTGTGTGTTCAGTCAAGAACGTAGACCTAATTAARTCTGAAGAACCACATCATTTTATTTGGCTCTCCCCACTCTTTGGCCTTGCTTTGATGCAGTGATTATTACCAGGTCTTTGGCTCTGCAGAGTACTCYAGGGTGTGGAAGCATTGTGTCTCATGCTGACAGCTCCCAAACAAAATAGCCCCCCCCCCCCCTTGGGTTGTTGCAGCTGAAACTCCCAGCTGGGTTGTCGGTGGTGAGGTCAGTAAAAGAATCCAGCTGTCTGCTGAGGTTTRTTCCTTTGCTGTGAACCAGCCAACCATCTGCTGATCTCCTAGAATGGATTACTGAACATGTGCTTGCTGTACATGGTCACACTGCAGACTCAATTTGCTTGTACAAATAGTGACTCCAAATGCAGATGTTTATGGTATAATAATAATCCCAGGGGGGCAAAGAGTTTCCACTACTTTTGGACCATTTCTTGTTTTCTTTCTCCTGTTAATCCCCAGTTCCCCACTGGCTGGGTGTCCTTCAACCCCATGAGGGAAAAGAACAGAACTCAGTTACCTCTATCGTAGTGGTTTGGTGGTATTTCTTCTTTTTTGTCTTTACATTGACATTGACAGGATGACTCGATTGTTTATATGGCTTTCCTACATGATAAATGATCCTTTATATCAGGATTTCCCAACAGTTGTTCTCAGGGCACACTGCCCTATTTGTAGATGTTGCTCTGCTTCAACACACCTGGTTTAAATTAATGGATTGATACCACACTTTTGTGGAACACGTCAACAAGCCGTTGAGGTAATTCATTCCTTTAAATCAGTTGTCGGATTAGGCTACTTCTAAAACATTTAGGACAGTGTGACCCACAGAGCCAGGATTGGGAAACAAGCTTTTTACAAAGTTTGTTGTTGCTGGATTCTTCAATTGGTTTATCTTGAGATTGGGAGGTTTGAAGTTTTATTTGTAAAATGTATAATTATCCCTCTAAGTTGGGGGTGACTTTCTGCCCCAAGCAGAGGAGTTTAAGTATCTGGGAGTCTAGGATGAAAAGAGAGATGGATCAGTGGATCAGAGCCATGTCCACAGTAATGAGGAGCAGAGTCAAAAAAGGCAAAGCCCTCAATTTATTGGTCTGTTTATGTTTCAACCCCCACTTATGAGGTTCAATTTCTCAACAAAAGAATGAGATCCTGGATACAAGTGACTGAACGACCAGGCTTAGACTTAGAGATAAAGTGATGAGCTCCATCATCCAGGGGAAACTCGGAGTAGAAGTGCTGCTCCTCTGCACTGAAGTCAACTGAGGTGGTTCAGGCATCTGATTTTCATCCCTTTGGAGCACCTCCCTTAGTAAGTTTTCCCTACATGTCCCACTGGGAAAAGACCTTGCTGCAAGGACTGTATATTCCCTCTGACCTGGGAACACCTTAAGCTCCCCTTAGAAGAGAGTATTGCTGAGGAGAGGGTCTGGGTTTCCCTCCCAGATTGACAAAGTGTCAGCCTTCTTTCGTTGTTCAAAATTGAAGCTATGCACCCGCTTTGGATGTTATCATCCATGAAATGGACGTTATTAGGCGTTATCGGTCTCCTAGAATGGCTTCAGAATGTCCCGCCTATGCCGGTTAGCAGGTTCCCCGTCCCATAGAATGGCTTCCAATTGTCAGCTGGTTAGTATGAGGCATAAAGCCACTATCTGGTTAATATGAGGCATAAAGCCACTATCTGGTTAATATGAGGCATAAAAATGGTTAATATGAGGCTTAAATCCATTAAGGTTAACTTTAGAGCAAATGACATGGTTAGCGCTAAAGACACCGCCCTCCAACAATTGTATATTGTGCCCTTCCAATAGGTCAATGGGTAGAGTGTCGGACCAGAGGGCGGGAGACCAGGGCTCGAGACCAACACGGACACAAAAAAATTATTACAATATCTTTTGGTTATTTACACATTCATTGTCATTGATATATTAACCCACTAGGGGGCACTGTCAGGATAGCCTGAAGCCTAGAAGGCCCAGTAGGGACACTCTGAAGCCATTGTATGGGACTGATAATGCCTAATAACGTCCATTTCATGGACTGATAACATCAGAATCCCCTGAGTTATGTTTATGAGGGCTGCCATGATTTAATTTTGGGACAGTAGTGTGCGTACTCAGGATTTGAATCTTTAACTCCTGCCTATTCCCTCGCACATAATCTTGGTGACACCTGACCTTTCTTTAAAATATGGAAGAACTATAATTGTGTTAGAAACATGAATATTTGAACATACAGTGACAGTAAGAACTACGTGAATCAACAATAGTCAACACCTAAAAAATGAAATAAGATGTTTTTTGGTTTTTATTTGTACCAAGGGTAATATTTTCTTTGCAAAACTGCTTTGATCAGTGACTGACATTGTTTTGAAAGCACAAAGATTGAACCAAGACACTGGCAGAGTTAGGGATCCCATGGTAGTGGGTCTGAGCCCTGCAGAGTCCCAGTTTATTTGCACCCACTAAACCCACAACAGGTCTAATGGTTCAATCTTTGGATGCAACTTCTTGATCATTTGCACAACTTTTAATCTGATCACAAGTGGAGCCAAATGTGAATACAAGACATGCAGATGGAGACGGTACGTAGAAAGTGACAGTCATTTTTTAAAAGAAAGGGTCCTTTTTGGATGTGTAACTATATAAAAAAAATCTCTCTGCAAAATGTGCTGCTTTTTTCAGAAGTTTCCAAACTGGTTAACTTCAGCTAGAGATACAAGTCCCATTGCATTTAGGTTTTGCTTTAGGCACAACAAGAACCACAACAAATCCTTTGAAAATCCCAAAAAGTTTCAGTCACCGTATATTTAATCACATCTGTAAATGAAAATGATTACTTCACCGTTAGGTCCATCTGCTCATTACTTGCTATTGTCAACAGCCTCTAAACTAATTACTGTTCCGTTGTATGATGGAATGAGTTATTGATTGATATTGAATGCTTCGTCATGGTGTGCGCTCACGTTGCCAAAGTGTCTTAATAAAAAAACGACACTGCAGCCTTTTTTAAAATTTGTTTTCTTTCTTCGTGCCTACAGCTGCTCAGATCAATTTATGCTATCCTAAAGCGGGGTTAAGTGTTAAATCGTGTCAGACCGTTTATCTTCCATGCAGGCGTTGTAATCGTGGAATGACTTCAAACCTGATGACTGATTTTCTTTTTTCCCTCTTTTTTAAATAAAATCCCCAAGGATTACTTATGATTGTTTCTTCTCTTCATTTATCTTTTTAGGGGGCTGTTTGCTAGTAACTATACAGAAACCCATTACCTGGAAGAYGGCACTTCAGTCACAGGCCCTCACAACTTCACGGTACGTTTCTTTTTATTTTTAGTGTGTGAACTTGGATTTGGACCAAGCGCCTCTTACAGATGAAGGATTTCTGTGAAGCTCTGCTTTTAGAAATGCTCAGCTTCCTTGTGCTAATATTAGGGCTACCAAAAATGTGAATAAAAATTAAATTRCAGTCAGGCTCCTTTTTTAAACCACCTGGAATTGCTCATAAAGAATCCCATGTAGGTGAGTGGGCCCATTTTCAGCGAGTTGATYCATATTTGATGAAGTAAAGGCAGACAGAGGGCAGAGAATAGACTCGGTTTTAGGAAATAGCTCAAGTCTTTTATAATGGATAAGTTTAAAACCATCCGCARAAATGATTTGTTATGCAGGTCCTCACGAATATCTTGAATTAGTGAACATTTAAGTGCACTTCAGAACTCACACTGACTGAAATATTTGCTTTATTTATGAGCTTTGTACTTGGTGAATTGAGTTAGCACATTTATCTAAAATCCATCTGTGAGATCTGTCAAATAATTTATATTTTTCATTTTTTGCAACCAAGTCAAGGCCGACATATAGCCACATGCATGGCTTTTGGTCTATTGCTGCACAAACTACTTTCTGCCTTTTTTTTACTTCAGTGCTGGGATAAATATTGCTCATATTCATCAAACTCAATTAGGCATCCCTTCGGCAAAATGTTCTCAGCTTTTAAACGCCTGGGCTCTTTGAAAACATCTTCCATGGATGCATAAATATCCTGCCATGCAAAGATATTTATTTTATGGTTTGGTAAAATAAAGAGGTAATTATAGTACACTGTATTGAAAGTGGCTTAATCACGTGGAGCAGTTTTTACGCTTTGTAGCTTCCACCAGCTGGCTTTATTTCACGGATTTGTTCATTCGCAGTTTGGAAACCAATTAAATGTCTAATTTTTCTTTGGAAAGCATAGTAAACACCCTGTAGGGGTTCTGCATGTGAAACACTCAGCAGGGTAGCTGAAATGCACAAAATAGGGGATTAATTGAATTACATAATGTGAAAATTAACATTATATTTCACTTGATGCTGCAGCAAAACCAGAGCTGCAACTTTATGGATTCAGCTCATTAGAATTGTTGCCATTCCAGAGCATAAAGATAGCATGGTTCAATCCGAGATGCCACTGTCGAGTTGTCCAGCTTTAGTGAAATTCCTAAAGAAATAAACAAGAAATATTTGCTTAAACATTAGACTTTATTTGATAAACATATATTTTAACTGTAAAATAAAGACTGTAAAAATACTGTAGGATGTTTAGTTTTGTACATTTTTATAAATATATTTTAACAGGAATGGGGCCATTTTATTTACATGCAAAGCATTCTGGGTAAATGATGACATGGATAGGTCCTCGGTGCGAGGCTGCTAGCGAGCTATATCCACCCTCACGGTTAATCTTGGACAATATCTGATGATCGACTCTTTTAAATGAAACCAGAGAGCGTTGACAGAGAGGAGAAGGTAGAAATAACTCAGCCTGTAACTGAAAATATGAATGGAGGACAACAGAGCTGCTTCATAGAAGAAGAACCTCAGCTTAGCCCGCACGCTATATTGCCTTATATGTATTAGCTCGTTGCTAGTGCGACAAACAAGCTAAACTGAGGTCCTCCATCCATATTTTCAGTTACAGGCTGAGTCATTTCTACCTTCTCCTCTCTGTCAACGCTCTCTGGTTTCRTTTAAAAGAGTCGATCATCAGATATTGTCCAAGATTAACCTTCAGGGTGGAAATAGCTCGCTAGCAGCCTCGCACCGATGACCTACCCACGTCATCATTTACCCAGAATGCTTTGCATGTAAATAAAATGGCTCCGTCCGTGTAATATATTTTTAAACTTTTAGTTTAAAAATTATAAAAACTAAATATCCTACAGTATTTTTACAGTCTTTATTTTACAGTTAAAATATATGTTTWTTAAATAAARTCTAATGTTACAACTAATCGGGGATCCCTTTAAAGTAAATGATTCASGTCAGATACCTGTTTGGCTGATTGATATTACAAACATTTGAACATCTTTTTGACCTCCTTCCCTTTTCTCGTTCCTCTCCCATGAGCACAACCCTGTTCTTCATAGGAGGAGAATTTTACTGAAAACATGTCTTTCTGAGTCTGATCTGTATGTAATTTATTTGTCCTGCCAGCAGGGAGGGAGGCTGATATAGTGATCTGGGCGAGGGATCTTGCAGATTCAGTTCTGTGTCAACAGCGAGGCGCTGCCGGGCCTGACTTCAGCATGAGTCAGCCGTTTCTCCGGTTCTGTTTTACACTCTCTTCCTTTTTCCACAAAACTTAAATCCACACRGAGCACAATAAACAAGTGTCATGTGCTGCAACAAAAGCCGTCCACTGGGAAAATCAATCACCTCCCTGGATATTAAATAGTTAGCTTGGAATAATAAATGTCTGTCTGGATTCACACGAAGGGTTACCTCCCACAATAATGTGCGTTTTAGTTATGAATCTTACTTTATCACACCTGATTTATTAACACATATACAACCCCCACTTCAGCAGAAACCATAGAAACAAAAAGTCTATTCATATCTCTTATATCAATACATCTCAGTCATGATCTCATCAAAAAAACATGAGGATAGCATTAACTCAGCACACTAAATCCAGCCCTGCTCCTCCCAACTAAACTAAGAATTCATTTGTTATATGATGTCCTGTCTTTGCACATTTTACCACACTATAATTATTTTTTTCCACTTTTAGTGTGCCACAGCCATTAGTTTAAAGGGATTAAAGGATATTATGCAAAATCAACATTTTTTCAGCTTTATATCATGTTATAATGTCATTCCTTCATCAAAAACATGCCCAGAGTTTTGCTCTGACTCATTCATGCAGGTTAGAGAAGTCATTTAATCTCCTGTGTTAGTCATGTGGTGCTGCTGGTACAAAGCACCGCCTATTTACCCAAAGCACCTCCTTGGAGCCCAGTGTGCAGCTGGGATGCCAATTTCAAGGCTATGATGCACATTCAAATAGATTTTTGATTTGTACAACATTTTCATACTCAATTGGAGGTAACATAGTTACTTTACTATTAAACTATGTGCTTTGACAATACAGACTACCAACATTGGGATGTTCATCCCATTGTTTTTTCTGAGTGAAGTTTTGCATGTTCTTCCCTTGCATGCCTGGGTTTTCTGTTTTTATTAAAAAGCTAATAAATATGTGAACWAGTGCCTGTTTACTTGATGACACTCAGCAAAAAATCGCTCTACTCTCAATCTCTTCTGGTGCGATGACAATAAAGCTGTTCAGGCCTAATATTAGATGTGTCACGTTTGAAATAGAGTTTGGAGCTGTCAAATGATGAATGAATCTCCATTCACTGTTTTAATCAGATTGCACAGCCTGCTCTGATTTTGAAGAATGACAAAAAATAATAATAAAATAAAATTCAATTCAGTTCATTTATATAGCACCAAGTCTCAACAAAACCACCTCAAAAAACAATCAATCTAAAAATGCCAGAAGATTGTGTTGAATCACTTTGTCACAGTCTCCYATCCTGAGCAGCACACTGACAGCAGAGAGGAAAAACTCCCTTTCAACAGGAAGAAACCTGCAGCAGAACCAGAACCAGGCCCAGGACAGGCGGTCATCTGCCTCGACCGGCCAGATCGTTCTCACTCCCAACTCTTCACATATCGACACTTGTCCAAGGTTCCCCTTGCGTCTGGTTTTTACGCGTCAGGAAACCCCCTTGGGTCAGTTATTGACGAGATGAGAACAAGGAGGAGGAGCCTGTTGTCATGTTTTTGCAAAATGTAGAAAATGCATGACATCAAACCATTCCAAACCCTAAATTTAACTGGAAGTCCTATCCCTGACCTCACTACCTAAAATTAACCAGTAATCCTGACCCCTAATATTAACCACGAACCCCAACCCAAAGACCCTGTGGTGCAAACCTGGAAAACCTCTGGGCGGACAATAACTGACGTGAAGCTGTTTCCCGATGCGTCAAAACTGGACGCAGAGGGAACCTTGAACAAGCGTCAATTTGTGACGAGTCGGGAGTAATGGTGAGTTCACACCAAACGCGATTTCAGCATCAGGAGCAGCAGCTTTACATACAAAGTCTATGGTGGACGCGCTTCAAGCAACGTCAGGAAGTGCTGCGGCGCCTCAAGCGCAATTAGAGCAGTGTGATTTGAACGATCTGAACGTTCGACGCGCTGAGGCGCAAATCGCTGAAGTTAGAAAATCTGAACTTTTGCAGCTCGACGTGCTGCGTCGACCAATCAGAGAGACTCCACTGTGTGACGTAGCGACATATTTCCCGACGGGACAGTTTACTGAATGATGTCCACTAACCTGAAACAGACGGAGAGGAGCTCTTTAGCTGAAATCGAGTGCCTGCAGTCGGTGTCCTGACAGGAGATATTCTCACCAATGCGTGGCAGCAGCTCATCAGACTGGAAAAATAGTCCTGAAAGCAGCTGTGAGCCTCTACTCTGAATTATCTGGTGAATTAATTATGAATTAATTATCTGATGAACGTGACACGYTCTGGCTCTCTGTAAATAAAGCAAAGCCACTTCCTCGTCCGACATTAAACAGAGCCCGACAGAGGAGGGAGGGGCGGGGAGGCTCTTGCCGTGCAGCGCTTCAAGAGCTGACCTGCGTCTGACCTCAAAGTGCACAAGCGACCAACTTCAGCGTTGGCTGCGATTTTGAAGCTGAAATCGCGTTCGGTGTGAACGCAGCATAAGAGTGTGTTGGACTGGCTGAGGGGACAGCATAGAGACATGGACAAACACAGGACTGGTCCAGGTATATTTTATTAAAGAAAACATGTTATTGTTAGAAGTAATTACAACAAACATGTAGAGGAGCGTAGCAGCAGAGTGAGGAAATGTGGTCAGTTTGTCCTCGAGCAGTCTAAGCCTATAGCAGTTGAAATGAGGAAACCTAAGCCTATATGTTTTAATGTAGAAACTCTAGGAACCACAAGTAAACCTGCAGTCTGAGAGTGAAGTGCTCTGTTAGGAAAATTTGGAACAATAAGATCTTTAATATAAGATGGAGCTTGGTTGTTGAGAGCTTTGTATGTTAGAAGTAAGATTTGAAATTCTATTCTGAATTTGACAGGGAGGCAATGGAGAGAAGCTAAAACTGGGGAAATATGATCTCTCTTTCCAACTCTCACTAGAATTCTAGTAGCAACATTTTGGATCAACTGAAGACTTCTTAAAGAGTTGTTTGGACGCCCAGACAATAAAGAATTATATAGTCCAGCCAAGATGTGATAAATGCATGGATCAATATTTCTGATAAAATACGTGACAATATTCTCTCAACCAGAAAAAAAAAAAACTGTTTTCTCAGAATTTTATCAGCCAGTTTTTCACTTTTGATATTATTGCAACAGTTTGGGAGAGGGTGTGTAGCGGTTGTTAAATTAACTTTGCTGCAGAAACAAAAGTTCAGGGGTTGAATCTCCTGATGCGTGTTTCCTGCYTGCCAACAATGTATCACTTTCCTCATGTTGTATGTTTTTCTGCCAACAGTTCAGTCTGTTTGGACCCAGACCATTTCTGCTCGCACATAGAGTTCTTTGGGGTTTTGTTACTGCAACATTTCTTTTTCGCAATAATAACTCCTTTGATATTTAAAAAATAATAATAATTCGAGAGTGTGGCTCTCGAATTGACACAAATTAAGCAAAATTCCTCCTGATGCCAGCAGCCTCTGGAGACCACCTCAAAAGAGGTCAATTGTTGAAACTTAATGCGTGCCCTCTATATTTAGAGGCAGTCTAAGTAGGRTAGAAAACTCACACTTCCTTTTTTCCCCCCAGAACAAGGTGCCGTGGGTCAGACCTCACCTGAGCAMGGCTGTCTCAGCGAAGCTGAAAGCTCAAGGCCTGTTTTCACTCTAAACCAGACACTTCCTCCCCACCCATTCACTGCCAGGCCTTGTTCAATAAACATGGAGCTTATTCACATTTTTTGCTCTCTACTTTGCTGTAGCCTGACAGGTGGTCTGTGAAAGTGGCTACCTGGGAGTGTAGCRGAAAGCAAAGCTAATGCAGGGAAAAATGACACTCAAACTCAGATTGGAGCTATTATTAGTCTGTGGTGATGACTGTGAATTCATCCTGACAAAGACTTTTTTTAACTCACTACTTAGTTGAACATCTTTAAAACATGAACTTCTGTCTCACACTGGTCCTATTTTTCTTGATATTTTAAATCCTTTTTTTACGCTTTTTTCAGGCAAACTGCTATTACCACGGAGAAGTGGAAGGTCRTGTCGACTCAGACGTCAGCCTCAGTACTTGTGCTGGAATTAGGTGAGTTTGTCATACATTGTTTGCCTTTCACGGTAATAATGTTGGTCTAAGACTTCAGGTATGATCCGCACTGAAGGCCAGGGAGTCTGAAACCTACCTCTGCTCTTGCTTTCTTGGTCGCTGGTTGAACTGATTGGTTTTTATTCGACCTGAGTCTCAAATGAGTTGAATTTCACAGCTGTCAGGTTTAAGTCAGCCGTGCCTCATTCTTCGTAGTGCAAAAGGAAAAGGAAGTATCTCATGGGGGGAAAAAAATCACGCAAAGTTCATTGATCGTGCCGGTTCGAAACAAATGTATATGTCTCACATCTGCATCAAGTTTCTGGTTAGATTTGTTACATGTGCATGCGATTTTTTTTTCTTACTCGAATCATAAAGATTTCTCAAGATATATTTGTATTCACAATTATCAAGTATTATATTTCTGAGTACCTGAACTTTCAGTATCGGGTGTGTCGTCTATACACAGTAATAACAACTCAGTTTGGGTTTCCTAACATGAGCTAATTACTTC